GAGTACAGAGGGTGATGCCAGATTCACCCTGAGTCCCTTCCCCAGCAAACAACCCTGCTGTGCTCTGTGCATGTGCCTGCCAGGGGCCCAATGATCTGTGGCCCCTGGTGCACATCTGTTCCTGGGAGCTGGATGCCTGGGAGGACAGAGATGACCCATTTGTGTCCCTAGCCACCCACCCCTCTGGCCCCTGGCCCAGTCTCCCTCCTTTAATTCAGTGTTACTGCAGGCAGGTGGGCTACCACTGTTGTGTACCTCTCCAGGCCTCACTGGCTTGGGCTCCTGGGGTCAGGCCTGCGTTACCTCGGCTCCTTGAGGTTAGGCGAGAGCTCACTCTAGTATAAGTGGGGGGCCCGGCCCTACCATCCATCCCTCTGCCGTCCCAGCTCCTCCAGCCTGAATGCCCACTCCCCAGGGGTCCCATGAAGCCGCTGGCCCCCAGCTCCCCTGACTGGAGGCCTGAAAGCCCTCCCATGCTCAGTCCCAGCCTGTCTTTCTCTCTAGCCAGGTGCCTACCACCACGCAGCACGAGCGGGAAAGGCTACCAGACAGCAGTGGGGAAACGCAGGCCGAGGGCAGATGTGTGCCCAGTTGGGACAACGCTAATGGCCTTGTGGGGTCTTCTCTTTGGACTCAGAACAAAACTGGCCCAGGATGGGCCATACCCTCGCCCCACTCTGGGCCAGCCCACCGTTCCAGGCCACACTGTCCCAGCCCCAGATTTGATGACCAACTCATTTTCAAAGCACAGTTTTCTTCTTTACGATTCATCTTCTCAGAATGTTTCTGTTAGGAACGGCCTCTATGGGAGCCTTCAACAAATGACGTGGAAAATCTGAGAGCCATCCTTCAAGGGGTCCCTCCCTACCTAGGGAAGCTCCCCTCCTTCCCAAGGCTCACCCCCAGCACCCCATTTCCGCCCTCCCCAAACACGAGTCACGGCCAACCCTCTGCAGTGTGGTAGTGGCTGCAGAGGTGGGCTTCATAGAAGGTTCCAGGCCCTTGGGGTGTGGGCAGTGCTCAATGGGTAGGAACAAGGGGTGTCTCTCCAATCACCTGGTGGACAATTGTCCATGGATATCTTCTGGGTACCAGTGTTAGTGTTGACACATGACATTCAAGACTTGACGGGCCCCTGCTCCTCACTGCTTGGCACTATGAAATCCTCTGGAACTTGGACACAAGTCCAGGGAAAGGGGATCCTAAAGAGACTCAGGTTAAGTTTCTGCCACTATGTAACGGTGGGTTTTGGTAGAAATCTAGTTCAATTTTAGAAGAATAAAAGAGAAAGTTCATATCATACACGTCTGAATTAGCCGACCAAGGTTCACTCCGTATTTTTAGAAGATGACGAAAGAGAAAAGAAAGTCTCAAAGCCTCCACTGTGCCAGGGTAAGGACTGCCTCTTGGTCAGGACACACACACCCTCCAGCGGAAGGGGCTCCGTCCCTTACTGGTGGCCTGGCCACGTCCCCTGGGCACCTTTGAACCCTGCGCCAGCACCACACACTGTTCTGCTCACCTCCAAGGCCCAGGTCAATGTTACCCCCTCCAGGAAGCCTTCCAGAGGCTCTGGAATAATAGTCACTGCCACCCCCACTGGCTGAGCGCTTTCCCACAGCAGGTCCAGGGCTGAAGGCTTTACAAGTACTCATTTGAGTGTCAGGACAAAGCCCCCCGGGGCAGCAGGGTGAAACTGGCCTCCAGAGCTCACCCACCACTGCCCACCATCTGTCCAATTCAGATCACCTGGGGAAGCGGGTACGACTATCTCCATCTTACAGACGAGAAGTGCAGGCTCAGGATGTGAAGGAATGAGCCCAGTCACATGGCTAGTAAAGGGTGCAGGGATTTGAACTGGGTCCCTCTGAACACCAGCCTGTGCTTTCCCATGGCTGACATGCTGCCCAGCTATTCCTCCACGTGCCCAGGGCACCTGCTAACGTTCGCCTCCCCCCGAGACCCGAGGTCCTGCTCCAACATCACCCCAATGCTGGCCTGTATCAGGCTTCAGAGATTTCCTCATGGGAGATTTGGAACAGCCCTCTCTGGGGCAGGACCAGCGCTCAATGACCTACAGTGAGCCCTCGGTCTCCTGTGAGCCTGGACAGCTTCCCAGCCCAGCATGACAAGTGGCACGGGTAGGCTTGGAGCTGGCGTGCCAATGCCTGGAAAGGTGCTGGCAGTTCCATCCCTGAGGGCTGGGGCCAGGGCCACTTTTCCACCTCCTCTTCCAGGCAGCCTGCCATCTTCTCCCACACCAGGTGGGCGATCAAGTATTTCCAAGGCCTTTCTCTGTACACAGAGGAGGCAAAGGGAAGGCCAATGGGTAGGTGGGCAGGCAGACTGGCACAGAGACGGGGTTGATGGCTGAGATTCAAGAAGCTGCTCCAACAGCAAGATGAGCTGCAAGCTTTCCTACTTGGAGGGTAAGCTCCGGGCGGTGAAAGCGGTCACCCGCGGAAGGACCCAGGAGCGCTGTGGTCTGAGTGAAGGCTGCTGGCTGACCCTCTGCCCCAAGCATTTCTCTCTAAAGCCTGATATTCCACTGTGCGATGACTGCTCTGAATTACATACCACCTGCCTGTGACCACGGTCTCCTGGCAGAACGCAGGGAGCCGGCTCGGAGCCAAGCTCCCCTACTCCAGGTGGCCCATCCCAGGCCAGTCACTGACGTTCCCAACATCCGTGAGCAGGGAGCAGAAAAAGGTGCCAGTGCAAAGCGCTGACCTCACAGCCCAGCACACATCAGGCGTCTTGACTTTTCTTTGCTGCTTTCCAAACTCATTTAAAATGTACACGCTCCTTTCAGTCCTCCAAGGGGACCCTTTCTTCTGGGGAGGAGGGGCTGGGAGCAGAGGGGAGGCCGAGGGGTGCCTCACTACACTTCTAGTCTTCATCAGCAGAGGGAGGCTCGGCCATGCTTCTGGCTGCTGCTTACGGGGTCGGGCCCAGCACTGACACCACTGACACCAACTTGGGCTGAAACCCAAGTCAGGGCAGGCAGTGGCAGGAAGCTGACTCAGGGGCACCAGCACTGAAGCCAGGCGAGTGAACCACAGGCTGCCAACCATGTCCTGGAGCAAGGCAGGTCCACAGAGGGCCAGGCAGCCGGGAGGGGGAGGGGATGGGCTGGTGATGCCAGGGAAGGTGTGTTCTGGTTCCCAGGGCCAATGAGAAGAGAGCTGTGTGCCCAGCCGGTGTGGGTCAGTGGTTGAGTGTCGACCTATGAACCAGGAGGTCAGGGTTCAATTCCCGGTCAGGGCACATGCCTGGGTTGAGAGCTTGATCCCTAGTAGGGAGTGTACAGGAGGCAGCTGATCAATGATTCTCTCAGCATTGATGTTTCTATCTCTCTCCTTCTCCCTTCCTCTCTGAAATCAATAAAAATATATATATATATATTTTTAAAAAAGCTTAAAAAGAGAAGGGAGCTGTGCAAGTCCACAGGCCTATGTTCTCATGAGCATTTGAGCATTCATGTGCCTGCCCTGCCGTCCCCAGCCTGCTTCCAGGGGAACCATTCCCCCGTGGGCGTCTGAATCAGGGGGCCCCGGGTTCACCTCTCCAAGAGGATGGGCCTAAGGCCACCCGCTCGGCGCGTGAGGCGGCACATCGCTGAAACCCTGAGCTCTGCTTCCCCTGAGTCTGGCTCTCGCACCTAACTCATCGGCCCGAGGAGTCAACGTGATGCCTCCGTGTTCTTCGCTGAAACCCTAGAGCCTAGAACACAGCAGGCCCTAGGAGGGCCTTGGAAACGTGTGTAAGATGAGCCCACATGAGACGGGTCTGACACCCAATCATCTGGTCAGGGCCACCGCGGCTGCATTTTACTACTACTTCCACCATCTCCATCTCAGTAACATCATCTTGCCGTTTTCCCATCTCCGAGAGCTCAGGGACAGGGTGGGCCTCGGATCCCTGCTGCTTACCGACCAAACGCCTCCTTTCCCTCTCCTCTCCGAGTCCCGGCTTCTCCCGAGGCCCAACTGGAGCCTTCCTTTCCAGGAAACCTTCCCCAGTCACCCCCACCCCCGCTTCCCCTCCTGGGGGGTCCCTGCAGCCTGGCAGCGGCTGCCACATCACCACACCCTCAGGAAGTCTTGCCCCCTCCAGTTCGATGGCCTCCTGACCCTTCCCCAGAAGCCCGCCAGGCCAGGCCTGGGCGCAGGGAGTGAACAGCTCCCGGGAGCAGGGGCCAAGGCCACGCAGGTGGGAGCCAGGCACTGTGTCCAGGACCGTGAACCAGACTCCCGGGCGGCAGGCTCCCGGGCGGCAGGCTCCCTCTGACGTGGGCCTGCTGTGGTGGCTCACCCATTCCCAGCACAGCCTGGCAGCCTCCCCAGGGACACAGGCCGGCTGGTGTTCACACCCGCAGTGGCTTCTGGGGCGGGCACGGTGTGGGGCGAGATGGCAGGGCTCCCCCGTCTCTCCATACACAGGCCCTGGCCAGCCCGGAGTGCTCGCCGGGCGGCCATGTTGCCCCCACAGGGACAGCCTCTGCTCATTAAGCGTTTGGGAGGTGCAGGACACAGCCACGGGGGAGGTGGAGGGGCTGGATGCCTTGAAAGGGGTCAGGAGGGCATTTTACCATCTGAGGCTGGGTGGGCGCCCCTTACATCTTACTGCCAAGCCCTCCGAGGTTAGAAACCCACCTGCCACCAACCTCAGCTACTCACCAAAGGCACCCAGGGCCCTTCAACCAGAGGAGTGAGGGGCGCGGACCCAGCCCTTCCTCCGGAACCCTGGCTGGGCAAAGCTTAAAAGTGACAGGTGCCACCCACGACCTCTTCCTCTGCCTCAGGTTCCAGCTTGGCCTTCCTCCTGCCTCCTGGGATGGTGCCCAGGGGAGGTGGGAGAACAGAAGGGCAGGGGCCTGGCTCCTGCTTCAGGGCCCCACACCCTGTGTCCCACAGTTAGCTTGGCTCCAGCCTCTGGCCCCCAGCACCATGGCCGGCCCCCCATGCCAAGCAGCTCCCCCGCCAGCCGATGCCTCTTACCAGGCTTTGGGATGAGTCCTTGGAAAGGCCTGGAAGAGAAGCAGAGAGGGGAGTGTCAGGGGGAGGGGCTGGGAGCTCATTAGAAATGTTTGGGGCACATCCAAGACCTACTGCATCAGAATCTGCCACTTTAACAAGATGGGCAGTGATTCGTGCGCACGGGACACTGCGCAGAAGACGGTGACCGGGGTCTCCTGCGGGCTCTGCCCGGGATGGCTGTGACCTTGGGCAAACAAGCTGTCCCTTTTCCTCCCCTCTGAGGTGGGCCTGATGCCTCGCCCAGGGGCTAGGAGTGCAGTGGGCAGGTGCTGTGGGCAGGTAGAAGGTACCCATGAAGGCCGTGCCTGCTACAGCGGTTATGATGTGGTGGCTGGTCTCACTTCTGGGGGCCCTCTGCACCCCGGCTGGCCTGCAGCCCACCCCCCTGCCCCCAGTACCCAGGTTGACATTGGGACAACTGCACCGTCCTGCAGGGAGGGCAGGACGAACCGGAGGAAAGGCCAAGGGTCCCCTGTGCAAGCCCCCACCCACGCTACCATTGCCTCCTCACCCAGCCTCTTCCCCCAGTACCTGGTGACTGTGAACTTGATCTTGTCAGCCACCGCGAGGATTCTCTCCAGGTTTTGGGAACCAAAGGTGCAGGGCTTTCGGAACGGGATTCCCGGGGGCAGCCCCTCAATGATCACCGAGCCGGGGTTACTCTTGATGCGCTTGTAGGGGACCTGGACCGGGTACTTGATGCCCAAGGCTTCCCCTGTGGATGACGGACGGAGGAAGCGTCATTAGGAGCCAGAGGCACCGCTGGTGTGAGGACGGGAGGTGTGTGTGGGGGCTTCGTGCACGAGTGCGAAAGAAACCTGTCATTTAGTACCAGGGAAAGGCACCATCAGTGGGGGACTGGGAGTGAGGGGGTGTGTTGTGCAGGAGGCTTCGGGGGTCAGGTGTGTGAGTCTGTGCCTGGGCTGAGGAGCGGGAAGGGGACGTGTAGCTACGGCTGCTGGGGGAGAGGGCAGTGGCTAATATTTCTCAGCATCCGCCCCTGCGAATCTGAAGGCCCACCTAGAGGATGTACCTTGTGGGCACAGCTGCCCTTCCCACAATGCCTGACCCTCCATCAGCTCCAGGGCTCTGCCTCCCCCTGGTTCAGGACTGGCCTGGCCCGAGAGGGCAGATGGCATTTGGGGGCAAGGAGAGCAGCTTGAGGCCAGCCAGGGCGCAGCTCAGACCTCGGGGCCCTCTTCCCACATCTGAGCATTGGTCTCCTTCCTGTCAGCAGGCCTCTGTGCAGGGCTGTGGCATTCCCATCCCAGGAACGGTGCTTTGTCTGACAGCAGGCCTAGGGGCAGTCCTGGGCTGAGGAGGTGGAACTGCCCGGCTGGTCCTCCATGGTTCTTGCCCACGGGGACCACGGACCAGGTGCAGGCACCGCAGCCCTGGATGCTGCGAGGCTGACTTGAACGTTCATGGCTCTCCCAGCCTTAGATGGGGTCCAGCTGGAGACCCACGCGGGTGGTCTGAGCTCACGGCGGCCCTCCTGAGGGGCTGGCTGAGAGCACCATCCTCAGTGCCACAGGAGGCCCCATGCAGACACTAGAAAGAACAGCTGAACTGTCTGTGTGCAATAAACTAGCTCTTATCTCACGGACACTGAGAATGCCAGAACTTGCCTCATTTCCCTTTCTGCTCGGACGCCTAGGAAACTCAGAGCCTGATGTGTGTCCTGCCGCTAGCAAGTCTTCATGTCACCCCTGGATTTGGGCCACGGCTTCAGCCTGTTTCGTTTTATTCAATCGAGACGGAATTCACACACCATGAAATGTACCATTTTGAAGTGTACCATCCAGTGGTTTTTAATATACTCATGAGGTTGTGAAATTATCTCTACTATCTAATTCCAGAACATTTTCATCGCTCCAGAAAGAAGTCCCATGCCCATTAGCAGTCACTCCCCTTGGCCCCTCTCCCCAGGCCCTGGCAGCCACTAATCTACTTTCTATCTCTATGGATGTCCAGTCTACTTTTACTCCTTCGTCTTGATGTTGTTGCTCACTAGTTTATAGGCTATTACAAAGAGATCCTTTTTGAAATAAAAAAATTCAGACAGAGAGGAAAATTTATACCCATAACCCACGAGTGGGAACACTGCCATCCCCACTTCTCTCGCCTCCAAAACGGCTCTTGCCACAATGACCGATGGCCTCCATGTTGCAAACCCTGTAGACACTTGCCTCTTTTGGCAAAATCCAACACAGATGCCCGCTTCCTCCTTGAGGCCTTCTCCTGGGTGTCCATGACCCCGCACTTCCCTGGTCTCCCTCGTTCTGGCCACTCCCCCTCCTCCTGGACCTGACTTCTAAACACAGCCCTCTTGGCCTTCAATCTGGGTCCTCTTTTGCCCCTTTTGCACCCCTTGTCGTGTCTCCTCTATGCTCATGCCCTAATTTTTTTTTAAAGACACGTGTCCTTAAACACTCTTTTCTTTCTTCTTCTTTTTAAAAATATGCTTTTATTGATTTTAGAGAGGGGGAGGGAGAGAGAAACAATAACTGGCTGCATTCTGCACACCCGCTACTGGGGATGGAGACCGCAACCTAGGCATGTGCCCTGACTGGGAATCAAACCGGTGATCTCTCGGTGTATGGGACGATGCTCAACCCACTGAGCCACAGCAGCCAGGGCCCATGACCTAATTTCTGGTTCCAATCCAGATACCCTTCTGAACAGCAGACTTCCTCTCCACTCACTCCTCAAACTTAACGTCCCAAATGGAACCCATTACTTCCTCCCTAACTCCTCCCCTCAGCGATGGCACTGCCCCTTCTCCCTGACAGGTGGGTATCCACCTGTCTCTGGTGTGCCATGTGCTCTATCCACTCCCCCTCACCCATCATGGTGACAGATCCAGGTACCCAACGAGCATGTGGCGTTTCCCTGCCACAGAGACTGGGTAAGGAATGGACATAGGACTCAGTAGGGACCAATGGGAAACAAGAGGAGAGCTCAGGGAATTCTGGGAAAGAAACAACCTGGCTCTCTTGGGAAAGCCTATGGAAGAGCCAGCCCTCTCCTTCCTTCCAGGCTGTGCAGATGGGGTGTCTGAACCCGCTGCGGCCATTCTGAGATGCTGCTGACACTGTGGGAAGACACCAAGGGTATTCCTGGGCTGCTGGATCCAGCTGACCCTGAAGGCCATCCCTCTGCTGGACCTCCCATGTTATGAGTTTTGGCTGACTGTACTGTCCAAAGATAGCTGCACCGATTCCTCCCACCCCACATGCTCCTCTTACAGTGTAACCTCTACACTCCCCCACAGAGAACTGGGGATGGGGCTTCGTAACTGCCTCAACCTGTACAGGACAACAGAGGTGACGCTGCACCACCTCTGAGGCTGGGTCATAAAAGGCAACACAGCTTCCACCTGGCTCTCTCTCAGGATGGTGCCTCAGCAGCCCTGGCTGACAAGTAGGACTCTAGCTACCCTGGAGTCACTATGCTGGAAAGCCCCCGTGAAGGGATCTCATAGAAACTGAGAGATGCCGAGGGGCCCAGCTGTTCCAGCACCAGCAGGTTCCCCAGCCCGGGGAGCAGACACGTTAGCGGGAAGCTGTCCAGGTGATCCCAGTCCCGGCCACCTCTGACTGCAACCTTGGGAGAGACCCTGAGTGAGTTGACTCACTGACGCTAATGAGAGATAATAAATAGTCTTGTTGTTTAAGCCCCTTTATTGTTCAAGACAGTTTTAGTTTGTTTTTGTTACTTGAGCATCTTCACTGATTCCTCAAGCCAGGACTCAACTAGAGGCCTCCCCGCTCCCTGCCAGTTCAACACCAGGGATTCTCTCTCTGAGCACATCTTAGCTCCACCCACTTTCCTCCAGTACCAAGGCCAGGGCCCCGCCCAAGAGCATCACTCTGGCCTGGACTCCCACTCCACCTCTGAGCTACCACCCACCCCTCGCCCTCCTGCACCCATTCACTTTCTTCACAGAGACCAGGAAGATACTTCAAAAGCGCAAAGTGGCTCGTTCCTTCACTCTTCCCAACAAAATACAAAGCCGATACCATGATCAGCTCTGCTTCCTGGCCAGCTCCATGGGGTCTCTCCTCCCTCCACCTCCACCTCCACCTCCACCTCCACCTCCACCTCCCAGCACCCTCCCCTTCTGAGGACAAGCCTCAGGGCCTTTGCACACACCATTATCTCAGCTGGAATGTCCCTCCTTCACACTTTGCTTAACTCCTTAACTATCCTTCAGTTCTTTCTTCAAAGAGGCTCTCCTTGGCCCCCGACTTAAGGTAAGCACCCAAGCTATTCTCTCTGGAACAGCCTGCTCATTTCCTGTGAATTCCACCTTGCTATTGGGTTCTGTGTAGTTGCTGAATGTCTCTCTTTTCCCTGATCTATGGGGCCCGTGAGGGGAGGGACTGTGCGTTTCCTTCACTGCTGCATCTCCAGGGCCTGGTACACGGTAACTGCTCCAGCAATATTTATAAGCGGATGAATGGTTTTCCCAGAGGTGACCACGATGGGCCTGGGAAACGCCGGCCTCTTCCCACCCTGCCCGCTTCCCTCCACCCGGCGCCCGGGCTCACCGTATTTCTTATTGAACAGATCCTGGACTTGCTCCCTCAGCGTGTTGGCAATGTCGATCCGGGAGAGTCTGGCATCATAATTTTCTGCAAAGTGAAGAACAATTATGGATTGGGGCTGTTAAAAGGCACTTAGTGACTTTTAAGGAATATGATTTTCTAATTATGGGCCCTCCTTCTCTGGCAATTACCAGATCCTTGGAGCGGGCCCCTCGGGTCCTTCAGAGCTAACATCTCAACAGAGATGCGTGTTTTTCCGGAAGGACGCACACTGTTACAACAACAGCAATGAGTCGGAAATTGAGTTAATTGTTGACATTTGAAAACCACCACAGTGATAAACAAGCCTGGAGGGGGAGACACCATGAAGAGGCCTGGTTCCTGCACCACCTGCGCCACGGTGGGCTCAGAGCAGGGACACGCGAGCTCAGGTGACTGGGCGGCCCCCCGAGGGACAGGGAGCCGGCCCAGCAGCTCTCAGTGGTCACTCACTCACCCCAAGGGTGTGTGTTAAGGGGCCTGTATGCCAGCATGTGCCAGGGGGACCCCTGATGGGCCTCATGAGAAGGGAAAGTGAGGGAGTGGATCTGGACCCCAGCCCACTAGGAGGACTGGGTAGGAGGAGCCTTGGGGTGCGGTGAGAGACTCCACTCCCCTCATCACAAAGTTCCTGCTGCCGGGGAAGGAGTGAGAGACGGCAGTGAGCAGCCACCCCTCTGGGGTCTGGGTCCTATCTCTAGGGCTCCCCCACCTCCGGGGCTGGCCCTCCTGCCACTGGTCTCGCTGACCCGTTTTCTCCTCAGAGCCACAGCGACCACCTAGGGCCCACCTAGGAAATGCCCACTCACTCACAGCCACCTCTAGGGCTCCCCAATAGGCACTTCGACGGTGGTTCCCTGTCCCCCCACTGACGCTACACTTGATCTCAACTGAAAAGCTGAGAAGTGACACTGCACCCCCACAGATGGGAGGGGCAGAGCCTCCCCCTCAGAGCCTGGCCGGTCGGTTTCTGTTTCTCAGGTATAGTCCACTCTTCATGCTTCCTCTCCCTCCACACTCACCTCCTCCCATCCCTTCTTGGCTCAGCCACAGCTCCCCTTCTCTAGAGAGAGGAGCCCTCCTTGCCCTTGCGACACCCCCTCCTCTGACTTCCAAGCATAAGAGCAAGGCTGACTGCCTAATATAGAGTGGGCAGGGCAGCTGACTTCCCAGGTGGATAGTGGGCGGCTCCTGCACCCTGTGGACGCCCCCCCGCCCACACACCCCAAAACCCCCGTGGAGTCTCTCACTCAAAGCTGGCAGGCTACAGCCCATCCCCACTGCCAGCCCACCTTACCCAGGCCCCCAGGCCCTGAGGTTGTATCAGCCCCACCCCTAGAGTGGGCCTCCACACCCAAGCCAGGTCAAGGTCATGGTGCTGGGACAGTGGACCCCATTCCTGAGCTGCAACCTTACCTTGAAAGCCCTGTCTCTTCAGGTTCCTGTCCACAAAAAGGTTCCCTGAATCCCTCTCTGGGGGCGAGGGGGGGGAGGGGAGGGGAGAAGCCAGGGTGAGCAGGCAGCTAGCTCCTGAGACCCAGGGATAAAGATGGAGCAAACCCGATGGGGAGGGCAGTTGGGGAATGTCAGGGGAGGACAGAGGAAGCAGGAGGGGTGGTGGCAGAAGCCTGGGACCCCTCCCACGCCCAGCCCGCACCTTAGCCCATGACCCTGTGCAGGGTACCTTGGCTGTCCGTGATGGGCTCTTTGACTCCTTCGGTGAGCAGCTCAGGCCTGGAAAATACAAGTGGGGCTATCACCAAGGTCCCTCCAAGCCTCCTTCATCCTGCACAGACCGCCCCTCTGAGCCTCAGTCTACACATCTGTGCAATGGGCTCTTCTGCCTTTGGACAGTCCAGGTCTGGGGTCCCTGCCCTTCTTGCAGTTGTCCTGCTGATCCATGTGTGAGATCTGGGCCGGGTGTGTGTGTGCGCGTGTGCATGTGCGAGTGCGTCTGCGCCGGGCTCTGAGGATTCAGGCGGGAGTGAGACCAGCCTGGTCCTAACCTGGTGGGGCCCCCTTCCTCTCAGTTCCAGGACGCTGCCTGACTGCTGCTATCCAGGGTCAGAGCACAGGGTCTGGGGAGTCCCCAGAGAACCGGCTGTAAGTGTAGGAGCCACCGGGGATGACTATGGGGCAAGTTCTCGGAGGCATAAGGAAGGCCCGAGTTTCTGGCTGAAACCCGAGAGCTGCCATTTCACTTTGGAGTCAGGGGCCTCGGGGACCAGGCCGTTTTCCACTGATGTCTGCATCTACACAGACTCCACAAAGCCCTTCCCAGACATGAGGTAGGGAAGCAGGCACTGCTTCCATCATCCCATTCTCAGGGCCAAGAGACTGAGGCATCGGGAAGGTTAGTAACATGCCCAAGACCCCACAGCTCCGGGGCAGAGTGCAAATAAAGTGCCCCTCTCCCCCCCACTGCAGCCTCTCCAGCTGAGGGACACCCCCTCCCCACACAGACCTCTGTTTTCTCATATGAAATGAGAGAGTAACCCTGTCCTGGCTCAGACAGAGGGGAGTAGGCCTTACAAATCCAAGTCTGGGAGACAACGCCGGACTGTGGAAGTTACTTTGGCCTGGGCGTCGGGGGTCCTGCTCCTGACCCCCCTAGGTGACTGTGGGGACAGCATTCTACCTTCTGAGCCCCAGTCTCCCCATGAGGAGAAGGGAAGAGGTGGTGGTGGGGGATGTGAATACAGTCTGAGGCCTTTCCCAGCTCCCGAGACTGTGGGCCAAGGCAGGCTGTGCCTCCTCCCTTCCGGGCCCCAGGAGCCCAGCCCTGTGCCAGGGACTGAGCTAATGCCGACGCCTGCTGCCAGGACAGGCATCAAGTCCTCATCCGCTGGCCGCCTGACCTGGGGGCAGAGTGCCCTGAGAGTCTGGCCTCGCTCCCAGGCAGGGTCTCTGTGTCGCTGCTCGGCCGCCTCTGTGACGGAGAGCTCATCACCTTTGTGGGCGGCCTCCCCACAGACCCCTCCTCACACTAGACCCTGGTCTGCATCCCTTCCTTCCCTTCGGGAGGTTTGAAGTGGCTGTCTGTTACCTGTCCCACTCCTCTAGGCCCTCAGCTCTCCTCTGGCCGGCCGGCCTCCCCAGCACCCTCAGGCTGCCACAGACCCCAGACCCCCACCACCCGGGCAGGCCCGCGCTAGCTGGACCAGGCTGCACTGAAAATGGGGCATTGAGAGTCAGTGCTGTGTGAGAGTTAGTCTGGTCCTTGTCCCAAGTTCCCGGGAGAGAACCTCTAAATCTTTGGAATTTCTGGAATGACAGGAGTGTCTGTTATTCATGGTGAGCCTCTGGGATCACACCTATGTTTATGCTAATAAGCTGACTCAGGATTCAGGAAGAGCAAGCATGTGATTAAAGGGCTGGGGCTACCAGCCACCTGACATCAGCTCAACCTCCTGACTTCTCATGGGGGTGGGGGAGGCTGGAGACAACCAAGCCTACATAATGCCTCCCAGTACACACTGTGGGCACTGAAGCTCGGGGCAGAGGCCTGGTTAATAAATCGATGTGCTGAGAGCGTGCCATGCCCTGATTTCATGGTAGAGGGTGTGGAGGAAGCTCTGTGCCCAGTGCCCTCCCAGACCTCACCCTTTGTGTCTCTTCAATGGGCTGGTCCTGACTTGTATCCTCTATTTAAAACTGCGATCATACTACAGCCTCCCCTGAATTCTGTGAGTTGTTCTAGCTAATTATTGAACCTGGGGGAGTCATGGGAAGCCAGTTACTCAGAAGTGTAGGTGGCCCAGGGCCCCTTGGACTTGTGGCTGGTGTCTGAAGTGGGGATGCTCTTGTCTTGCTGGGGTCTGTGCCCTGACCCTGTGATACCTGCTAACTCGGTGGTCAGCATCAGAACTGCACCCTGGACCGCAGCACTACATTCAGACAGAACCTCCCCCCACCGCTTCCCTGGGCCTCAGTCTCCCACCGAGAGACTCCACCCATAGCTTTACATTTCTAAAGGGTTTGTAAACTTTGGAGAATTTGATAAAAGCAAGGGACTGTTTCTCCAGAAAAATGCACAGAAGAATACAAAAATTTGCATACAAGTTCAAGGATCTGGGTTAATAATGTTTTTTGACAAAAGGTTTAGAAAGTTTAATTTGATTTTTGTGCCAACTCTAATTACTAGGTAGTGGTTGCGTGGAGTATTGCTTAGAAGGCTGTGGAGGTCAGGTTCAGGAAGTGTCAGAAAGTGTCAATCAATTAGTGATGTCTCCTGCAGGTGATAATTTCTCATTTATATAAACATATCTATATTATAAAAGTCCTGTGGCCCTAACCCCGTAATGACCAAAGACTGGCGTGGGTGGGCGGGGCTGTGAGCACAGCAAGGCACATGGGTGGGCGGGGCCATGCGATTTCACACGCTGGGCTTCTAGTATGTATATGTATGTATGTATGTGTACACACACACACACACACACACACACACACACATATGGGCTGAATTGTGTCTCCCCAAACTTCATATGTTGAAGTCCTAACTCTCAGTACTTCAGAATGTGACTATTGGAAAACTGTTTTTAAAGAGGTGATTAAATTTAAATGAGGACATTCTGACCGGTGCCCTTGAAAGGAGAGGAGATTAGATCTTGCAGAGAGAGGTACCAGGGACGCGTGTGTACAGAGAAAAGACCACCTGAAGACCCAGCGAGGAGGTGGCCATCTATCTGCGAGCCAAGGAGAGAGGCCTCAGGACAAACTAACCCTGCCAACACCTTGATCTTGAACTTCTAGTCTCCAGAATTGAGAGAAATAAATTGATGTTGTTTAAGCCACCTAGACTGTAATACTTTATTATGGCAGCCCCAGCAAACTAATATTCATATATTCAAACTAATATTCATATATACATACATAAGTATGTGCGCATATATGTATATCTATTAAGATGTATTTCACATAACATAAAATTCACTTTTAAAGCGTGCCAGTGGTTTTTACTATATTCACAAAGTTATTTATGTAGCCACACTTCTATCTAATTCTAGAATCTCACCTCCCAAATGTATCCTTTTTATAAGTAAGATTAATGAGAAGTGGCTATTTTTCACTTAATTGTCCCAATAGTATTTGTGCTAATTTTTAAAATGAGGAATGCTATAATAAAGATACTTGAGTGCTCAATCTCTCTCCTCCAATCATCTCTTAAAACTATCCCAGTCTTTCATCCCCTCACCCCACCTGTTGCACTGGATGAGGTTAATCACTCTCCCCCTGGAATCACTTTCTTCACTTGCCTTTCAGGAAACTGGAATTAAAGTCACTTTTAAAAACTGCTACATTTTTGCCCTGGCCAGGTGGCTCAGTCACTTAGAGCCTCATCCTGTACGCCAAAAGGTTGCGTGTTCGATTCCTAGGGCACATACCTAGGTTGCAGATTTGATCCCTGGTTGGGGCGGTTGCAGGAGGCACTCTCTCTCTCTGTCTCTCTCACATGGATGTTTCTCTCTCTTCCCCCTTTTCTCTCTCTCTAAAAATCAATAAAATACATACCCTCAGGTGAGGATTAAAAATAAATAAATAAAATAAAATGGCTATATTGTTAAAGAAATGGACTCCTCATACAGGTAACCCCATAGATACATCTCAGAAGCTAAGTGAAGGAAGCCGACGCCAAAGGCTGCACACTCTCACTCCATTTACATGACATTCTCGAAAAGGCAAAATGATAGTGGAACGCTGACCAGTGGCTGCCAGGGGGTCAGGGCTGCCAACAAAGGGGGCGCAGAAAGTTTTTGGAAACTGCTTTGTACCTTGATTGTGGTAGTGGTTTATGAGACTTAGTTTGTCTAAGGTCAAAGAGTTGTACATTTAAAAAAGGCGAATGTTACTGAATGTAAATTAAACCTCAATCAGCCTGACATTTAAAAAAACCCCACCAAACCCACATTGACTGAGTTCTTAGAGTGCCAGGTTCTTTGCTAAGCTTTGACCTCTACTGCTATCCCCTGAAGTGGCACAGTGCACCCCATGTAACACCCCAAGGACCCCGCTGAAGGTCACTGGGAGTAACGACTAAGACCCAGGAGACCACCTCTCACTGCCACAGAGCCGCCAGCCTCACGCATTTCTCAATATAAAATAGCATTAAACAATGCTCAGGTGCCCTGGTTGGGTAGCTTGGTTGGTTAGAGTATCGTCCCAATATGCCAAGATTGTGGGTTCTATCCCTGGGTCAGGGCACATACAAGAACCAACCAATGAATGCATAGATAAGTGGAACAACAAAGAAATGTTTCTCTCTCTCTCTGTGTCTCCCACTCTCTCTTTCCCTTCCTTCCTCTCTCTCTCTAAAATCCATAAATTAGAAAACCAAACTGCTTAGGAGCACAGGGGAGAGACTGCTTCTGCAGGTGAACAGCAAGAAAAGTCGGTTCACATGGATTTGCTGTTGATTTGGTTCCTACCTTTGAGCCGCCCAAGGGCTTCAGTTCTGGGTTTAAGGCGATGAATGTGGCAAGCTGTCTCCAGGTGCACGTAGCCTCCCAAATGCTGATAGCTCCAACTTTCTGTCCCCACCCTGACCTCTCCACTGAGCATCAGGACTGTCAGTCCCGTTATCCACCTGCTGTATGTCCCTCCCTGAAAGGCCCAATGAATCTCAAATCTAACACATGTCAGACCCAGCTCTTTATTTTTTTAATTTACAATATATTTTCATAGATTTCAGAGAGGAAGGGAGAAGGAGAGAGAGATAAAAACATCAATGATGAGAAAGAATCATTGATTGACTGCCTCCTACACGCCCCACACTGGGGACTGAGCCTGCAACCCAGGCATGTGCCCTGACCGGGAATCGAACCGTGACCTCCTGGTTCATAGGTCGCTCAATCACTGAACCACACCAGCCGGGCCAGACCCAGCTCCTGACTATGGCCTCCACCCACATCATCTCCATCTCAGAAAATGGCATCAGGGCCAGCCCGGGTGCTCAGCCTGCAACCTTTGAGTCAGTCAGGACTCTATTCCTCTCACACACCACACCTAATATATCAGCGAATTCTTCAAAATACTCCCCGACTCTGACAACTTTCAGTACTCCTGCCCCACCTGTACCCAGTTCAAGCTGCTGCCCTGTCCCCTAGCCAGAGTGAGGCCTCCTCGCTGGTCCCTGCTTCTGCCCCTGCCCATCCCCCCAGAGTCCCCTCTGCCTCACAGCTGGAAAATAAAAATAGGCCCAAACATGTCACTCTCCTCAAAACCTCCCAGTGAGTTCTCACTAAGTGTGAAATAAAATCCGAACTCTTTAAGCCAGCCCAAGACCTTGTGTAATAATTATATTGTCATTTTATTCAGTGAGATGGGCCAACTCAAGGGCAGGACTTGGTGGCATTTGCTGCCATAGCATAGCCGGGCACAGGGTTGGCTCTCAAGCTGTATTTGTTGAAGGAAGGAACCAGGTATCCTCTATGTTCGCCTCCTGAAGCTCCACCTTCCCTGCCTCTCCTGATGCAAACCAGGTCCCATGGGAGAGCTCCCCTTCCCATCACCAGCTGCCACTCTAGGTGTGAAGACCACGACCACCTCGAGCTTCCCAACTCCTCTAAGGGGAATACACCCTTCAGAGTGGGTGCAGGGTAGCGAGGGTCAATGGGGGGGAGAAAGGGGACATCTATAAGACTTTCAACAATAAAGATTTAAAAAAAAGTCTTCTCTTACTTGCCACTTTCAACCGAACCAAACCTAAATTTACAAGACATAACAGTAACACGGAGAAGCAACAAACACAGAACAGGTCCTCCCCAAAGTCCTCCCCCTCCTTTCAAAAATTAATAGCTCCTCCACCTCCTCCGGAGGGACTTTATGCCACACAGCTCCCCTGGGCTCTCGCTGACAACACTGAAATGCCCGAGGAAACAAGAAGGACCTGGAAATGCCGCAGCCATCTCTTCCAATCCTCGCATAATGGACGCTGCCCTCAGCAGTGCCCTGATGCCCCGACCCAGGTCACCATCACCCCTTCCCACAGGATGCTCAGAATGGTCCAGGAGAGCCAGCTGGCGGGCACATTCCCATTCCACGTGCTGGCAAACTGGAGACGGAGAGACTGGCAGGCCTGGGCTGGGCCTGGATAACCTTGTGCCTGCCCAACTGGGCCCAAACCCCAGTGAACACCCCACTCTTTATTTTTATTTATTTATTTTTAAAATATATTTCTTTATTGATTTCAGAGAGGAAGGGAGAAGGAGAGAGAGACAGAAACATCAATGATGAGAGAGAATCATTGATTGGCTGCCTCCTGCACACCCCCCACTGGGGATCAAGCCCGCAACCCAGGCATGTGCCCTTGGCTGGAATCGAACCTGGGACCCTTCAATCCACAGGGTGACGCTCTATCCACTGAGCCAAGCCGGCCAGGGCTGAACACCCCACTCTTTAAAACAAAACAAAATAAAGCGAAAGTCTAAAGAGGGAGATGGCAATTGGATGCTGCTCCTGGATGCTGGGCAAGCTCAGAGGGCCCGCAGACCTGGCCAGGCCTTACCTCCTTTTTTTTTTTTTTTTTAAATATATTTTTATTGATTTCAGAGAGGAAGGGAGAGGGAGAGAGAGAGAGAGAGACATCAATGATGAGAGAATCATTGATCGGCTGCCTCCTGCACGCCCCACACTGGGGATCAAGCCTGCAACCTGAGCATGTGCCCTGACCGGGAATCGAACCGTGACCTCCTGGTTCATAGGTCAACGCTCAACCACTGAGCCACGCTGGCCGGGCAAGGCCTTACCTCTTAATGACGAACTGGATGCTGTTGCTGGCCTCCAGGATCTTCCGGAGCTTGGCAATCCCGAAGCAGTTGGGCCTGCGGAGGGAGATGCCTTCAGGCAGCCCCACCACAAACAGCTCCTCTGGGTACATCAGGAACTTGGAGTAGGGCACCTTGACGGGCTCCGAGATGCCAATGGCCTTGGCTGCAGAGACACAGCTGCTGTAGGGCCACCAGAGCTATGGGGCCACCGGCCTCAACTCCCGCCTCCCCCGTCTGCACAGGGGGCCACAAGTGCCAGAGCCCTTTTAGAGTCAGCACTTAGTTGAGCCTTTCTAACCTTCCGGAGAGGTGAGTACTGCTACCCAGTCCCCAGGCAAGAGACCTGGAGCCCAGAAGGGATGTGCCTCATCTCAGGTCCCAGAGCTCCAGAGGGGAGGCACGTGAATCCCACACTCGTGCTCGCTCCATGCCCCCACACCCAGGCAGCGCAGGGAAACCACTGCCGGTTGGTGAGACCTGGCGTTGGCTCCACCCAACACCATGTGTCCCTCTGTTGCCAGAAAAGCCCTCCAGAGGGTCCTCTGCCACCATAAAGAACCCCAAAACTCTGTGTGGCCTAACACCATGCTTTGGGGAGAGGACAGGGCTGAGGTCCAGGCCAGGTGCTGCCTCTGCCTAGTTGTGGGGCCTCAGAGAAACCACGTCACTTCACCAGGCCTCAGTCTCCTCATCTGTGAAATGGGTATTAGGACACAAGGATTTTGTGAGATGGGACGAGAGAACCTGTGAGAAGCACTTAGCCAGCGCCTGGCAAACCACAGGCGCTTAATAAAGAACAGCTTTCCATCCTGCCTCCCCATCCTCTCCTGGTCTCTCTAGTAGGAAAGTCCTTGCTATGTAACGAGTCTTCCTGAGGACCCTGAACGACAGTGCCCATGAGGACAGAGGGGCCGTTCTTACAGTGGAGTAAGGACCTCTCCCACCGGAGGCTGAGGCGGAGGAGTGCGCGTGAGCCTGCTGGCTGAGCAGGCTAAGGTGCAGCATGCAGAGGTGGGGTTCTCTGGTAGTGCCTGTCTCCCTGGCTGCCCCATCCTTTCCCAGTGGGTCCCAGCCCCTCGCTGCCCTCCCCACCTTGTGCCCAGGCAGGGAGCAGCTGGGATGGGGGGCCAGGCCAGGGTGCCGACCCTGCTGTTCCTTGCTCACCGTATCTCGTGTTGAAGAGCAGCTCCACTTGCTTCCGCAGGGGCCGGATCACATCGCCGTGGCCGTCTGAAAGGCAAAAGCAGCGTGGAGCCTCCTCAGTGGCAGCAGCACCCTGCTTCTCAGCGCAGGTCCCAGCTCTGCTGGCACCAAGAGTGTCCCTGTGGTGGGACCTTGGATGGGGCAGGCCAGGTAACCTAGTCCTTCAGAAATGGCACCCCCAGACAGGCCTGCAGCTCCTGGGCTCCAATCCTGCTTGTGAAGCCCAGTCTAGGGCATCCCCAGGCTGAGTGGAGGTCTGGAAGGTTTTGTGGCCCAAGAATGATAACGGGCCTTTCTAGGTAAAGTGTCACTCCAGACCTGCTCAGCGAGTTACTTAACCAGTTAACTGCCACGATATTTTGAATTTAATTAAAAAAGGTCCGCCGCTTGCCTCTACGGACGCTTATGGCGTACAAATGGTTAACCAGTAAACACTAAGCCTGCAAATTGAGGATGCTGCCACCAGGGGGCAGTGGACTTTGGTTAACACTTCGTGGTTCCAGCTGCCTGGCCTGGTTTGGGGAAGTGACCCTTCTCTCCTCCGACACCCACTCATTCATTCCATTGCAGGAGCAGCCACTCCTGAGATGAAACGGGCCCATCCTCACCTTGACTCCCCTTCCTGGCCTATTCTCATTCTCAGCAGGAAGGGAGTGAGCGTGTTCCTAAGAATGAGCATGCCTGATGGACACCAAGCCCATTCTGGGCTATCGGGCCTACAGTGCACTTGCTCAGGAAGACCGACTCAGCCCTCATCCTTAAGATCTTTGTGGATGATGGGGGCAAACAATTAAGAAATAAAGAAAAGGAAGAAATCTTCGTGGAAAGAAGTGTGTATAAAAGCAAAAATCGAAAGCCAAGCCTTGCCGTTTCCCTTCCCAGAAAGCCCTGCTGTACCTCTGACCAGGTGCCTCCTAGGAAGCAGGTCTGCAAACCTCCCACCTCAGGCCGCCCACTGGACTCCATGCCCAAACGAGGTGTTGAAGAGAGAGAAGGGAGAGATGGGGGGCAGGGGAGGCAGCAGAGCTGGGGAGGTGGTCAGTGCCTTACCCTCCATAGGCCGCTCCTCCGGCCGCAGGTCCTCGCTGGGGCCTTTGTCTGAAAGAGAAGAGAGGATGCTGGGAAGCCACGTTCATCACCTCCTGCACCCTGTGGTGCCAAAGTCAGGTCAGACCGGTGAGGAGCGGCAGGCCGGGGGGCTCTGACGCTGGAGCATGGCATAGTGACCCCCAGACGGGATCAGGGATCTTGATTGAGCACAGGCACCCCACCCCCAGCCCCACGTGAGGAGGGCAGGTTCAGAGACCAGGCATCCCATCACATTTGGCAAGCACCTCCGAGGGCCAGCCCCATGCCTGTCTGTCCTTCCTACTATGCACTACGTTCCATTCCAGGCACCAAGGACACTCAGGAACAAGACAAAGCCCTGTCCTCCTGGTATGATGCAGACATAACACACATTGGCAGATGGTACTGATGCCATCAAGAGAAACAGAATCAGATAAGGGGACAGAGGGAGGGGCAGGTGTAGGGCATGGAGCCATCCCAGGTCTGGGGGTCAGGGGGTGGGGCTGATGAGGTGGCACTGGCACCAGCCCAGGCTGCCAGCTATGGGTCCAACCTTGTTTCCAGATGCTTATTGTCCACAGGTAGCAAGGACACAGGGCAGCAAATGGGAGGTGGCTGCTGAGGCTGCGTGGAGGTAGAGGGGGTCCCTGCTGGCCTGGGGGGGTCTGAGGTGGAAGGCTTTCTGCAGGAGGGGATGCCTGGGCTGGACCCCGGTGTCCAGGAAAAGCAGTGGATGGGAGGGACACAGGCAAGGAGGGAGGCACAACATGGGGAGGGGGCGAACTCTGAGGGGATGGGTTTGGGCTGGGGATGACATGGGAATTGTGACAGTGGGAGTGGGGTGAATGGGCCGGGTCCCTGATGGGTACAGGCCCTCGGCAGCGGCCTTTATTGCTGGGGCTGAGGAAGGTACGGGGATTTTCACCATTTGTGACAATTAGACGGGAGCTGTGACGTAGGAAGCTCACTGGTGCCTTCACACGCAGTACTAAGCCCTTCAACAGCTCCTTTCAGCCCATGACATGCAGCTGAGCTGGGGATGGTGGAGCAGGTGGACCCAGGTCTGCTCCCCCAGCTCTGGAGAGCGTGCAGTGATGAGGGGTGCAGGGCGCCGTCCCCCTGCCCAGAGCTGAGGGAAAGGGGCTAATCCTGGGAGAGCTGTCAATGGTCAAGGCCCGATCACTGATTGAGGAAGGGGAGCCCACACATCTGGGGTCATCAGATAAGCCTGAGCCTTGGGGCTCAGCCTGGAAGGAGCTGGAAGGTTCTGGAAGGTTTCATCTATGCAGCCGACTTGAAAAGGTGGAGGGCCGGCCCCGAGGTTTAGGCCTAACCTTTCCTCAGGGAAATGGACACCCTGCAGGCAGTGCGTGCTGGGTCCACGTGACCGAAGAACTGGCTGTGGGAGAAGAACCAGCCAACAGCTTGCGGTTAATGCCCTGGAAACAGCTCTCAGCCAATGATGGGGGGAGATCTGGCAGATCACTAACCCAGCTCCCTCTTCACCGGCTGCGTCATCTCAGCGCATGACTAGTGGGCCTCATGGGCCCTCCGCTCAGCTGCCTGCAGTGGCCACACCTGATAACACGACTGTCCTGCCTCAGCCCCACTTCCCACCTGGTGTTCCCCGACCTCCTCCCAAATGAATCAATGCACTGCTCTCGGGCCAGCTTCTGGGGGACCCACTAATACGCTGGAGAGCAGGGCAGACAGAAAGACAGGAGTCTGGTGGGGACAGAGGGACAAGCAGGGCCACCAGGGAGGGGTCCCTGGGCAGGTGCCCGTGACAAGGAGGCAGGAACTGTGTCTATCCTAGGATGCAGAAAGCTGCCAGATGGCGATGATGCCACACCTGGAACACCTGTTTAGTTCACCAGGTGGCCTGTGAGGCACAGGAGAGGGGAGACCGGGCCCGGAGTCTGCCCCTGCCATGAGCTGTCCATGTTGCAGTGCCAAGACCCACTTCTGTCCCCCGGCAGTAGCAACAGTCTAGAGCAGTGATGGCGAACCTTTTGAGCTCGGCGTGTCAGCATTTTGAAAAACCCTAACTTAACTCTGGTGCCGTGTCACATATAGAAATTTTTTGATATTTGTAACCATAGTAAAACAAAGACTTATATTTTTGATATTTATTTTATATACTTAAATACCATTTAACAAAGAAAAATCAACCAAAAAAAATGAGTTCGCGTGTCACCTCTGACACGCGTGTCATAGGTTCGCCATCACTGGTCTAGAGCACCAGGCCCTGACCCAGCCATTCACAGGGCCCCAAACTGGGAGTGGCTTATGCCAGCCTTTTTGGGCCCCCCAAATTGGACTAGGTCCTCTCCTGGGGAATCTTTCAAAGGGCGGGGGAGACAAATAAAAAAAAATGATTTATTTTTCCTGGCACACAGGGCAGGTGCTTTGGGGGCCCACATTCTAAATAAGGGGAACTTGCCATTGACTCTGAACATTCCTGTCCACAAGCTGACTGCTCCCGATTCAACAATGGGAAACCGGAAACAACCTCAATCAGTGACCACGGGCGTGCCGACACAGCGATACCACGCTGCTGCACAGCTGTCCGCGGTGAGGACACGACGGACAAAGTGTACAAAACAGTAGCCCGTGCATCAGCCTGTGTGCAGTTTCTTGCTGTCAAACCAGGAGGGAGAACCCTTTCCAACAGAAGGGGCACCGTGCTGGTCCATGCCCCCCACCCCCTCGTGCCACCAGCCCCTAGGTCGCCAAATTGGGACCCCCATGGTATCCTCGAATACTGCTGTGAGCACAGCCAGGCACCAGGGGACCTCCTAGTAGCCAGGACACACTGGCAGCTCATCCTGAGCCTCTGGCCAGCTAAGCTTCCCAGTTTCCACACACGGCTGTCAAGTCTGGTCACACCCAGCCCGTGCCTGACAAATACTATTCCTTCTTCATCACCACGGGATGGAAAACACATCAAAGCTGATTTAGGAGATGAGAAAGATAAAGCACTGAACCTAACACAGCTTCTGTTTTGATATTTCTTTTTTTTAACTAGTGATTATGTTTTCAACACCGTTGTCAACAGAGCACACTCGACTTTTTGTCTTTTGCATTCTCCTTCGCTGCCTATTTTTAGTGGCTGTGTCAGGAGGAGACCATTAACGGCACCCTGGTTCTTTCCAATTTTCATTGTCATCAGTAACATGGCTACGAACACTGTGCAGGAAATACTGTCCATATTGCAGATATTTTCCTAGGACTGTATTCCTGGGATGACCACAGGGAGCTCATTTTTATGGCTCTTCAAGCTGACAAACTTCTTTTATTATTACTATTAATAGAGGCCCGGTGCACAAAAATTTGTGCACTCGGGGGGGTCCCTCAGCCCGGCCTGTGCCCTCTTGCAGTCTGGGACCCCTCGGGAGATAACGACCTGCTGACTTAGGCCTGCTCCCGGGTGGCAGAGGGCAGGCCCAATCCCTAGGTGCAGCCCCTGGTCGGGCTCAGAGTAGGGCCGATTGGGGAGTTGGGGCGCTGCCCCGTCATGCACAGAGCAGGGCGGATCGGGAGGTTGCGATGCCACCCCTAGTCACGCTCAGGGTAGGGCCGATTGGGGGGTTGGGGCACCGCCCCGTCACACTCAAGGCAGGGTCGATAGGGAAGTTGCGGCGCCACCACCTGTCACGCACAGAGCAGGGCTGATCAGGGGGTTGGGGCATTGCCCCCTGTCATGCACAGAGCAGGGCCCATCAGGGGGGTTGGGGCTCCGTACCCTGTCACACACAGAGCAGGGCCGATCAGGGGGTTGAGGAGCTCCCCGCTGTCACTCACAGAGTAGGGCCAATAGGGGAGTTGGGGCACCGCCCTCTATCACCCACAGAGCAGGGCCAATCAGGGGGTTGGGGCGCCGCCACTGTCACACTCAGGGCAGGGCCGATGGGGAGGTTATGGCTCTACCCCGTCACACAGAGCAGGGCCCGTGGGGGGGTTGGGGCGCCGCCCTCTATCACCCACAGAGCAGGGCCGATCAGGGGGTTGGGGTGCTGCACCCTGTCACACACAGAGCAGGGCCGATCAGGGGGTTAGGGCACTGCACCCTGTCACACACAGAGCCGCAGGGCGATCAGGGGGTTGGGGAGCTCCCCCCTATCAGGCACAGAGCAGGGCTGATCAGGGGTTTGGGCGCTGCCCCCTGTCACGCTGATCCCGGTGCTGGGAGGCCTTGCTGCTCCGCTGATCCCGGTGCCGGGAGGCATATTACCCTTTTACTATATAGAATAGAGGCCTGGTACACGGGTGGGGGCCGGCTGGTTTGCCCTGAAGGGTGTCCTGGATCAGGGTGGGGGTCCCCACTGGGGTGCCTGGCCAGTCTGGGTGAGGGGCTGAGGGCGGTTTTCAGGCTGGCGGGTGACTGAAGCTCCCAACAGCTCCTTTTTTGCTTTTTTTTTTTTTATTCTGGGCCAGCTTTAGCTCTGAGGCCTCGGCTGCTGAAAGCAGGTTTCTGGCCTTTGTTTACCTTCTGTATTTGAAACAATGTTGCGGTCCTGCTGGCTGAAGCCTGGCTGACTAAAGCAGGTTTCTGGGGTTTGGTTTAGCTTCTATATTTGTTACAATGTTTATTAGAGTTGCAGCTCAGAGGCCGGCAAGGCAGGCGGGGAAGCTTGGCTTTCTCCGTCACTGGAGCAAGCAAGCCTCCCTGTTCGCTTCAAGCTGCCTGGCTGCCGGCCGCCATCTTGGTTGGCAGTTAATTTGCATATCTCCCTGATTAGCCAATGGGAAGGGTATTGGAGGTACGGCTAATTACCATGTTTCTCTTTTATTAGACAGGATTACTAGAGGCCCGGTGCACCAAATTTGTGCATGGGGGGGGGATCCCTCAGCCTGGCCTGCAACAACGCCAGCGTCCCTTGCCCCGGCCTCTGGCCAGAGGCCCCTCCTCTCCCTCCACGCAGCCGGGATGCGGACGCTGGGCTCGTGTCATTGGGGGCAAGGCGAGCCCAGTGTCCCGCGCCCAGGCCTCTGGCCAGAAGCCCCTCCCTTCCCTCCGCGCGTCAACCATCTTTTTGCCGAGTGACGGTTAATTTGCATATTACTCTTTTATAGGATTTTCAAATTTCTTTAAAAAGCAATTTGCACATTTGCATTTGCACCGAGTGAGTACCCATTTCCCAATACACTCAACAAAAGTTATATCCAATTAAAAGGTGCAAAAGAGATGGCCTCTGCAAGCCCTCATTCCTCTGCGCCTGTCTACTCGCTGTCTGTTTACTGGCGCAACCGGATCGCCCATGCATGTCGTGGTGGACACTGGGCTCTACCACCAAGATCCCCAGCCTGTTGCCCCAGCAGCAGAGACTGTGGTGAGCTGGCAGCCCAGGCAGGTTGCCCCTTCAAGGACCGCCCTTTTGGGCCAGCCCACATCCCATAACCGATTGAGGAATAAAGACCAGGACACCCCAGTTCAACTCAGAACTCTGGGGGGCTGTTCTGGCTCCAGAGCCCCTTGTGTGGTTGGTGGAGACTGTTACTGGGGTTGCATCATGGCTCAACCTTTCCTTCTGCCCGCTGTGCTTCCATCCCTTTGTTTACATAGGTGTTGATCCCAAGGGCGGCCCCCAATAAACATCCCACACATTAAACTCCATCTCTGTTCCCTAGGGAACAACCCATGACGCATGTCCTTGGGCTGTGAGTTCTTGTGCATTTCAGCCCAGTGCTCTGGCCTGTCAAAGCCACAGAGAACATGAGTCTTGGGTGGACTCCCCATTCCTTCCCAAGGCAACTGCAAATTACATGGTCCTACTGCCCGAGGTCCCTTTATCCGACGGACTAATGTTCCTGGAAGGACCGAGCCCTTCAGGCCAGCACAGGAAACCTCCCCCAGGTGAAGGCTAGGTACCCCTGCAGCCTTGCTTCCCCGACTCACCCCTCATGCATGGCCCACACTGGGTCCCTTCTGATGACTCCCAGTCACTTGTGTAGAAATCTTTTCCAGAACTGTGCCTGGGACTGATGCCCAGTCTACCTATCTGCAATTTGGGCAAAACCTCATCGTGAAGTCCGTTTTCTTTTGACAGCTCCGCTTCCAACCACCATCACTTCTCAAGTGCTATGGATGGTGGATCTCAGGGATTAGCTGCCTGGGATCTAACTGTCGGCAGCTGGAGATGTGCACTCATCCACAGCAGCTCCACAGACCCACGCAACTCCTTAATGAATGGGACTCTCAGGTCCTCCTCTCTCTCCCCCATTTCCAGACCATTCTCCCTAACCGGGATGGAGCAAACGAGGGGCGGAGATGTTGTGCCTTTATTCCGTCACCGATTCACAGGACACCACCCACCGGGGCCTGCAGGAAGCCTTTTTATTTATTTTTCCAGTCACTTGTTTTGTCCCCAGCTCATTTCTTACCAGTCATCATCTCCATCCCATAACCAGAATCTTCCGAGGGTAGGTGCCCGGGCATCGAATCTGTCATTTCCTCAGAGGTTGGCGACGGGTCTGGAGGTAAAACTCCAAATGATAAGAGAATCCCCTGCCTGTCCCACCCCATCACGGTCCCTCAGGGACCCAAGTCCAGCATGTCCACAGAGCAGGACCCTGTAGGAAGCCGTGCCCTGGGACTCTGGGAGGGCAGCCTTAATGGTCGGAGGCCAGGCAGGGCCAGGGGCCTGGAACTATGGGCTCAGTGGTTACCCCATGCTGACCCTCCAGAGGCCAAGTACACCCTCCTCACAGACGTGGAAACTGAGGCTTGGAGGTTCCAAGTCTGGAGTCAAACTCAGATCCTCTTACGCCAATGACTTTTCTTCTCCCTCCTGCCTCCCAAATCCCAGGGAAGCCAAGCCAGAGAGGTAAAGGTGGGGGGAGGGAGCCTTTAGGAAGCCTGGGGCTGGGGCCTGACTCCTGGCACACAGGGCAGATGCGGCTGCAGAAGGCATATGCGATATCCCACCACCCTCAGGACCAAACTAGAGAACCAACAGGGGTCACCCCAGTCTAGCGGGGAGGGCATAGGGTGGTTCCCGTAGGAGCCCTGTTGTGGGGGTTGCTCGATTCCTGTAGGGTCAGGTTGGGGCAGCAGGGGCAGCCCTTCAGATGCTTGTCCCTTACCTGGGATGGTGACCTGAATGATATCCAGATCCTCTGGCTCCATTTTGATGGGCCTCAGCCCGCCCAGCTCCCCGGAGGTTCCTGGGAGGAGACAAGAGATCCAGTCAAATGTGGACATGAGTGTGGCTGGGCAAGGCGAGTCATTCCAAAACATCCTATTGTCTGGGACTTGCCGGTAGCACCCAGGAAAAGTATCGGCCCCTATGCTCCTGCCCAGACCAGAAACAGAGGGCAGGCAGGATGTCAGGCCAGGCCTGGTGGCTCTAATTTACAGACCTGGCAGCTGATGCCCACAGAGAGTAAGCCACTTGCCACAGACATACTAGGAGGTAGTGGTGATGCCAGAATCCAGGTCTTCCAACTCCCTCTGTGCTACCAAATCCCATCTGCCCCTCCCTGTCCCTACCCCGTGAGCTCCTAACTGTGCTGCAACTCCCAGATGCTCTGAGGCCTGGAGGGTGAGGGGCAGGGGTGGGCAGAGGATGTTAACTAGGACTCCAGGCTCATGGTGGGGTGCTGCACACTGCGGGGTCCTGCCCCTCCTCACCTGGCCCACAGTCTTCAGAGATCCCGCTCCTGTCCGACCTGTGGGAAGGAAGCCGAGAAATGACATGGCACCAGCCCAGCTCTGCCCTCCAGGCTGCCAATCAGAATGCACCCCAGACCACGCTCACTCCAGACCCACAGGATGGCCCTCTCCACAGCACGGTTCCCAGTGCCGGGGACAAGAGCCTGCTTGCTCTCCTGGGGTGAACTGTCTGGGTGTCCGCCTTCCCCCCCAGCTGGGAGCTCCTGAGGCCTCGCTCTGGCCACGTTGGGGGCTCAATTTAGCACAGTGGGGGGTTAACCAGTGCTTTCTGGGAGGACTGAGAGCTATAGCCTAGAGGGGGGTTGGGAAGCAAAGCTGGGGAGGGTCCCTGGGATGGATGATTCAGTTAATTCACGGAGCCTGGAGGGGAAGCTGGGCTGGACATGGGGACTTGGGATAAATGGCCCACCCCTGTGTGGGTGGCACTGGTTGATGGTGACTGGGCCAAAAACTGAGTGCAGGGCCTTGTGGACACACAGGGCAGATGCCTGGTTGCCAAGGAAGGCTTCTGAGACCAGGTGACATGCAGCTAGTTCCCAAGGGGGGACAAGTTCTCCAGGTGGTGGAAAATCGGCGGTCTCTGTCCTTCTCTGTCCCTTTATCTCCCTGCCCCAGTGGGGTGAGGACACACTGTGTGTGTCAGGGTGTCTACGCGGGATGACCCTGTGCCTGTGAAAGGCATCAGGGGGTTGGGAGACACTGGGCACAGCATCCTGGGCCAGCCCTAGGCCTTGTTCCTCCCTGCAGGTGCTGCCACCTCATCCAGAGTGGGGTGCCCATGGGCTCGGAGCTGGGGTATGGCCTTACCGAGCAGTCCCTGCCAGGTCAAGAACGGTGGCACGGGAGACTTCTGCAGAGGTGTCCTCTGGCGGACTGGCTGGCTCCAGTTTTGTGGGGTCTTTGGTAAACTTGTTCCCTGGGTGGAGAGTCGGGGAGGGGCAGGGGAGGTCAGGGTGAAGGCTCTCCAGCCTCCTCCTGCCTGGGCAGGGCCCGCTGCGTGAAGCTCTTGGGAGCACCCTTGGGTGTGGTCTGGTCTCGGACCCTCCATCTTGCGGGCTCCATGTCTGGCTGGGCCAGGGTGGGTCCTAGGGAAAGGGGCCTCCCCTGGGAGAAGGAATAAGGGCCACAGTGCCGGGGAGGCCAGGGATCTGCGAGGACTGGGAAGGAAGGAGCTGCCAGCAGTGACGGTCCCGACCACCCACAGGTTGCTGGGGCTGAGGGAGCCCTCGGGAAAGGGGCTGAGTCTCCCCGAAGGCCGTGCGACTGGGCCATTCTCTCATGTAGTTACCCCAGGGACCCAGTGGAAGGTGCTCTTATCACACCCACTTCACAGATGTGGAAACTGAGGACCATAAAACCCTGCCGACAGTCACAAAGCTAGCATGAGGTAGGGCTGGAACTGGGACCCAGGTACACTGCACCCCAACATCCGAGCTCCCTTTGTTGAACCATTCAGAGGGGGCCTCCTCCTCGGAGGCCTGCTTTCTACCGGCTATGGCCCGGTCTCCGGGGCCACATGCCAGGCCCCACTGCTCACTAGCTGGGCTTCGGAAAAGAAAAAGAGAACACTTCATAGGGATGTTGAAAACGCAATTTAATTAAAATGAAGTATTCTAACAGCTTAGAAGAGTACCTGGCACATGTCAATATTCAGAAAACATTAGCTTTATTGTTCGCTATTCAGAGCATCCCAGGTCTCGGGGGGTTGTCTGCTCCCGGGAGCTGGGGGCCTGTGCCTGCCCAGGTTGCAGAAGCCACACCCAAGATCCTCTCCGTCCCAGGCCTAGTGTAATGGCAGCCCAAGCACTCTTGGGGGCATCAGCTTGGTGCTTCAGAAAGATAAGATGGTACCCACACATACCTGTGAAAATTCGCTCATCAAACATCCTGGAGAGAGAGGAGAGACGGGCATGAGAGCGGTGTAGCCCCAGGGATCCCCCAGGCTCAGGGAGCCGGCCTCCGGGTCCCTTCAGTGACGGTCACTTGAGTCCTACATACACGGCTATAGCTGCAGACCTGGGCCCGGGGCTGTGGCCGCATGAGGACAGGAGAGGGTGTGGTCCGGAACAGCCAGATACCCCAACAGCCAGATACCCGAAACCATTTCTCCTCAGCCAGGGAAGGCATGGGCAGGCCCCTGGGGGGTTCTGGATGGTCCAACATGCTTAGCACGATGCCTCAGGGGCCTCCTCCAGTCCTGAGCTCTCCTTGGCCACAGCTGGTGGATGACTCACGCCTTTCCCACCAGGGCCCCGCAGGCTTTTGCCCAATCCTGCCTGTGTCTCAGGGACAGTCACGGGGAGAGACCCTGCTCCCAAGAAGCTATCTGTTGACTGCATAAGTCAGGCCTGTCATCAGGTCACAGACATGCAAGATGACACCTGGGACCCCTCATGTGTCTCAGAAGCCCAGGGGGCCCAAGCAGAAAGGGAGTCGGGAAGGACTTCAGGGGAGGGATGGCAAACTCAGGTGAGGTGGCTGAGAGGTTCTCCAGATAAAGGCACAGGGTGCGGGGGGAAGGGGAGCGGTGAAGGGCGGGGTGCAGGGGAGCTCCACCTGGCTGGTGCTCAGGCACATGGTCTCCACCCTGTGGGCAATGGGGAGCCCCGAGGGGCACAGCACCATCAGATCACTCCATCCTCACCCAGAGAATGGACTGGAAGGGGGATGGCTGGGAGGCTGGGCCAGTCAGAGACCCCTGAGTCATGCTGGCGAAAGACGTAGAAACTTGGCCAGGAAAATGAGATGGAGGAAAGGTGGGCAAGGTGGTCTGTCCTTAGTCCCAACCAGGGTGGCACCCAGTGGGTTGGGGAGTCCTGGGCAGTGGGTCTGGGGCCTGCAGTCAAGTCTGTGTGCCAGGGAATGGCTGGACAAGGGGACCGGGCCTCAGTCATTGAACCCAGGCTATAGTGGCGACATGGGACCGATGAACGGGGAGGTCTGAGTCCAAAAACAAGGGGCAATGCCCAAGGCGGGCCCAGTGGAAAAGTCAAACACATGCAAAAGAGTCAGCGACAGGATGCGGGGCTCGGTCACTGGGGCGGTGAGACCACAGCACGACCTGACCTCAGGCATGGCTTCCCGTTCTCATTCCGAGAGGCCCGGCTCCCCTGCTGCTCCCGGAGGCCCGTGCGCGCTGGGTTCCACGAGGCCCAGAAGCAGCCAGGGAGGAATTCTGGAGGAAAGTGGCTTCCTCAGCCTCTCCCAGGGACCGGAGGCTGCCAGTGTCCCTGTGGTTTTATTATTTATGGTTTTAGTTATTTATGGGGAGCACAGGATGGGGGCTCGCACAGTTCCCCGGTGGAGCTGGGGGGCAGATGACAGGGAGAAGGTCTGATGGTGGGTCCAAGACTGTGACGGACGTTCTCACAGGCTGCCTAGCGTGAGGGCCGTTCGATGGGCGTTGACCACGTCACTGTAATCTTCCACCGCACAGGCCACACACTTGCCCTCTTAAATTCTGCCTCAGGTGGAACTGACATGTCGGCCCTTCCGGTGTGAATTCAGACGCCCTCACCAGGGGCTCATGTCCTGGAGGGACAGGGGATTTGGAGGCCAGGGCTCGGCACAAGTGTGAACCTGGGGGCCAGGGAGCCCCCTGCCACCAATAACAAGAAGCACAGGCCTTGAGAAGGGGCTTCTCCCTTTGTAGGAGAGAACCCTGCCCTCTCCCCACCCTGGGCAGACCCCTAGGCTGAGGCAGAGACTCCACCTTCTGGCTGCTTCCTAAGCCCCCTTTTTTTCTGACCCATGTCTGCTAGAGTGATCCCAGATGCTCTATTGATGAGGCTGAGATGTGTAATAATGGGAAATGCACACAGGGCTCAGAACGGAGCAGCAACTGTTCTGGTCATTTAGTGCGTGGACAATCACTATAGCCCCATTTTACAGGTGAGGCAAGTGAGGCACAGGGCAGTCCGGTAATTTGCCCAAGCGTGTGCCCTGGCTGGGAATCGAACCGTGACCTTTTGGTTCAGAGGTCGATGCTCAATAGCTGGGAAATGGTGGGGCCAGAATTGGAACCTAGGCCATCAGGGCTGATGTGCTTAGCTACTACTTTATATATCAGGGAAGTGAGGTCAAGAAAAAGAACTGGTGTTTATGGAGCATGTCAGGTGTGTTATGTCCACTTCCTCAGTGTATGTTGAAGGAAACCATTGTTCCTGTTTTTAGAGAGGAGGAAACCGAGGCTCAGAAGAGAAGTTGCTATTCAGGTTATCAAGATGTGAGTGGTCACCCAGTCAGTGTGGCTCAGTGGTTGAGCATCGACCTATGAACCAAAAAGTCATGGTTCGATTCCCAGTCAGGGCACATGCTGGAATGATGGGCTCGATCCCCAGTTGGGGGTGTGCAGGAGGCAGCCGATAGATGATTCTCTCTCATCATTGATGTTTCTATCTCTCCCTCTCTGAAAGCAATAAAAATACATTAAAAAAGAAAAAAGATATGAGTGGCTTCAAGCCCAGTCATCTGATGCCAAAGCTGCCTCCTCCAGGAAGCCCCATGGGTTTGCTGCTCAAATGCCATTGAGTCTACACCGGGAACGTTTCGAAGTGACCACCCCTCATGATGGGCAGTGGCCACTGGGGGCAGGTGGGGACTATGCCTGCTCTTTCATAAAATCTTCAGGGGAGCCCAGTGAAGGGCTGAGCGTGTAGGAGGGACATGCTAGTGAAGCATTAAATGAGCTATAGTTTGGATTGAGGGAGATGAAACACAGGGTCAAGCATATGAGGGGACACTGGGATGTCCTTGTTGTTTTCTTCTCCCCTACCCCCCTACCAAGAGTCAACGGAAGAAAATGGACTTAGGCAACAGCAAGAGGGATTTAAGCTAGACAGCAGTAACACTGCCTGATGACTGACTACAATGCACCTCCAGAATCATTCATCAAGTGGGCTCCACAGGAGGGGTTGTGAAAGCGCATGAGATGGGCATGAGATGGCTGCGATGCAGATGCAAGCAAGGAGTGTGCTAATGAAGGAAGGGGGCGTGGTCTTCCAGACGCTGAGAAAAACAAAAGCAAGCCTTGAAAGGCAGAGGCAGGTGGGAAGCTGGTCCAGGTGGAGGAAGAGCTTCAGCAAAGGCCCACAGGCAGGGGAGGTGGCAGGAGGTGGGGGTGTGGGAAGGCAGGGCAGCAAGAAGGCTGGCTCGGGGGCTGCCAACAGGCCAGAGTGTGCCCTGCACCCTGAGGGCCAGAGGCGGTGAAGGCTTCTGGGTGGGAGGCCCACACTATCAGCCCCGACTTCCAGAATCATCTCCTGGGAGGCACCGGGAGGCCCACCCACTGTCCTGGCAGCTGCCTCAGCCTTCTGTCCTCTCCCAGGCCTCTCACACGAGCCCTCTTCTCTTCTTATCTCCACCCCTCTCTTCCCTGAGATCCCTTCCTGGCCCAGGCTGACAATGTTCAGATTTTTATCTCTAACCCAGGCCTCTCTCCAGAGCTCCTGACATCTCAACTTGGCCTCTGAGAATGTCATCTCCTGATCTTCCCTGAGTTCACATATCCAACGTGAACTCACTCGGAACATGGGGGTGATCCCTGTCTCCCTGCTCCCCTCCCCGCTCCCACATTCCATCCACCAGCAAAGCCCATCACAGCTGAGCATCCGTCCCAAATCCCGCCACTTCTCTCCCTCCACCGGCCACGCTGTCCTGGCTCACTGCTCAGCCTCCTGCCAGTCTCCCCACCTCTGCTCAAGTCTCCCCGCAGCCAGAGGGCCTGTGAGACCACGCCTCTGGCCTCCAGCCGCCCTGCAGAAGTCCTACCCACCACCCTAGAGCAATTCTCAACCTTTGCTCACGCCCTGGCCTCCTTGCAGGCCCGGGGAATCTAGGCCTCTCGCTGAGGCCATCCCTTCCGCCCAAACACTGCCCAGCTCTACATGGGCCCACCCTTCTCAAACTCCCAGCTCTGGCTTAACAGATGGGGCTTCTCTCAGAGGCCCCTGACCACCCTAAGTCGGCGCCCTCAACCCATTTCTCTTTCTCCCATTACCCAGGTTATTTCCTAAACTCTAAGAAGTCAGAAGGGCCCTAACCGGTTTGGCTCAGTGGATAGAGCGTCGGCCTGCAGACTCAAGGGTCCCAGGTTCGATTCTGGTCAAGGGCATGTGCCTTGGTTGCGGGGACGTACCCAGTGGGAAGTGTGTAGGAGGCAGCTGATCGATGTTTCTCTCTCATTGATGTTTCTAACTCTCTATCCCTCTCCCTTCCTCTCTGTAAAAAATCAATAATTTATATATATAAATTATATATATATATATATATATATATATAAAGAAGTCAGAAGGTATGAGCCCAACTTGGTCAAGCATGCGTGCATTCGCTCACGCATTCCATAGATCTGTATTAGGCATCTACTATCTACCAGGGACTGTCATGGTCACTGGGGGATTCAGTAATGAGCCAAGCACAGCCCTGTCCACGGACCCTGCTTACTTTATAGTCTAGTGGCAACTAGACTATAATAAGCAAGCAGGCACATGAGTAATGAATGTACCGGGCTCACACCGCCGAGGGGAAACATCCCGAACAGATGCCTGGGGAGGGACCATGCAGTGCTGCCTGGATGCAGGGGGCTGGCGGGCTCGGCCTCTGGCCACCCCTCCATCTCTAACCATTTAGGAGGGATCATCCGGGAAGTCTGGGCATTGCCTGGAACTGCTGGTACAAGCTTGGTGGTGAGTCCAGTGCCTGTGAGGGCAATTCTCCTGCCAGCTAGGAGGGCCAACCTCTCCCCAGGCAAGAGGAGACCACACCGCTGTTAGGTTAAAGGGCCAGAATTCTCTCCCAGGTCTGCCTGATTCTCTCTTTAAGTCAGAGAACCACTTCATTCCATCCCTGCCCCATCGTCGCCTCCCCAGGGCCCTGCCTCATGCCTGCTGTTGCCCCTGCCCAGCCTTCACACCCTAATACCTTGAACCCACCCAGGCCTAGCGTGGAACAAAGGTCATGCCCCCTGCAACCCACCCAGCACCTCTTAATGATGAAGTGGATACTGTGCCGCTCCTCCAGGATCCGCTTCAGCTTGGGAACCCCGTAGGTGCAGGGACGCTTGAAGGGGATCTTGTCCGGGATGCCCACGATCTCCACAGCCTCCGGGTCGCAGGCAATCTTCCTGTAGGGGACAGGGACCATGTGGTCCAGTCCCAAGGCTTCCGCTGGAAGGGCAATGGCAAGGCTGAGTGCAACATGAAGGCCGCAGGACACGCAGGGCCCCAGGGCTGTGGTCATCACCACCTCCCACCGCCCGGCACCTCTGGCCGCCCAGTGGCCATGCTGAAATGTCAAATCACATCCTCTCTCTTAGAAAAACGCCCACAGGTTCCCATCTCACTCAGGGATGGTCAAAGTCCTACCTGGGCCTCTGAGGCTCGATGGGACCAGGACCCCATCACCTGGGACCTTATCTCCCCCCCGCCCCCGCCCCACCCCTTTCACCCCTCTGCTTGTTCATTCCAGTCTCCGGGCCTTTTTGTTGCTTGGCCAGGCACACACCCACCCCAGGGCCTTTGCTCCCGCTCTCCTGTTTATTCAGATACTTTTCTCCCACGTAACCAGATGCTCCCCCCTCTCCTTTTCTCCAAGTGTCTGTCAAATGCCCCCTCATCAGCCTAAAACAGCCCCCTCCACCCCTCCCAAGCCCATCCTGCTTTGTTTTTCACCCCAAGTTTATCAGGACCTGCCACTGTGAACATGCTCGTCTAGTCACTGGTGTACTGTCTGGAACCTAAGCTCCACGGGAGCAGGGTGTCCTCGCTGCCCCACGTCTGGGATCCAGATGGGGCTGGCACACCACAGTGCTCCTTGCATTTCCTCCGAGTGAGTGATGGCTGCAGGAAGCCCCCAGGCTCCAGGTGGCTCTGGCAGGATGCCGCTGGCCACACAGGTGAGCCTTTTCCTCCAGTGAGGGCCTGGCACTCCTCTCACTCTTCAGTGACATCAATGAGATTCGAGCCGGAAGCCGACAGCATTGCCGACAGAATCCGGGCTCATGAGTGGTCACTTGTTCTCTTCCTCTGGACTATTAGGTTTGGTCTTGGCATTTCAGACATTCACTCACACCCCAGCTCTCTATGTGTTTATTCATTCACTCACCAAACACTACTTGAGCACCCACTGTGTGCTTGATGGCACTTAAAAAAATTGATTTTTAGAGAGAAAGGAAGAGAAACATCAATTGCTTGCCTCCCATATGGTCCTGGATTGGGGATCAAACCCCAAACCTAAGTATGTTCCCTGACTGGGAATTGAACCCTAAACCTTTTGGTGTACGGATGACACTCCGACCAATGGAGCCACCTGGCCAGAGCTTGATGGTACTTTCATGCGTCCCCCATTCTCCCCAAGGCCTGGGAGGTCTCAGGAGATGAGCTGGGCTGGGTGTCCACTCTT